GAGAGAGAGAGAGAGAGAGAGAGAGAGAGAGAGAGAGAGCATAAAGGTTTGATGTTGAACGTGGCGCGATCCGTGCGCGCTCGCAGTATGCCCAGAAGTAAGAGAACTACCGTCTTCCCCCCGAACATAACGCACCCTCATCTTGACTGTACGGGACCGGAAAGCTTGTATACATTCGTAATGAGGGTACGTTGTGTCCGGGGGAAGACGGTAGTACTACTAGAATAGGAGGAGAAGGAGAAGGAGAATGACGAGGAAGACAACATGAACTGGCGAGGAAAAGGAGGAAAAAAAGAACCGGAGCAGGACGAAGCAAGCACACTTCACTCACCTCTCCTTACATGCCAAGCTCCAAACCACTCTCCCCCACACATGCTTTGTTCTCTGTCCCATGCCTGCTTTGAACACACTCCTGCACGGTCCCTCAGAGCTCATCTTACGTCCCAGTCCCAATTGGTGCGCCGTAGGGTACAGGCCTGTGTTACTTTTCATAACCTGGTACTCCCATGCGAGATCGAATTCCGCAATATGAGGCCTCGTTTGGGCCTTGTACTCCTCCTTTTCTCTCACAAAGGCAGAGGGAGCGGTGGGGCCGCAAAAGGACATAAATGTCATAAACAGCCCGATGCACCCGGCAGATCCTCCTCTTGCCCTACTCACGCCTCCATCATCTCAGTCTTTCGCTCGCCGAGCCACGTGGCAGAGTATGCCTTTTTCCCGTCTTCTTATTCTGGTCATCTGCTCTTCTCTTGATTCGAACTCGGGTGTGTTTTGCAACAATTTCTGTGTCTACAAACTGAGATACGCCCGTTGGTGGGCACAGAACATACCTGATAGTAGAAGTGTGATGGGGAGTGGCTTGTGATGGGGAGTGGCTTCAGGACAGCGGCCTAGATTTGGTCATCTCTGTGCCTAGACTAGCCTACTCCTCAAGCTAAACTGGCTGATGCTGCCAGGATAACTCCGGGGGCCAAGTCCCACTAGCGATAGGAAAATGCAAGGAATGAGGACCGTCCGTCTGTGTGACACATTTCCGAGCCGTAGATGGTGAAAGGATCGGATGGTCCGTC